AACAACTCCTGCAGTTTGAGCAACTTGAACATCCAGCTTCTTTATATGAGAGTTTAAACTCTCAATTTTCGATTCAGGTCCTGATACAGCGAATCCATCTTGCCATTGAAGTCTACTGTCATCTTCTGCTGTCCCTCAAGGAGTTGTTCTAACATAGCTTCCACCTTGTTGTCTTTTGGAGGTACAGCTTGATAGGAAGAAGAACCATAATTCCTGTTGAAGTTGCTGCTGTTCTGGTAAGGTTTCTGGAACTCTGTCTTCTGGAACTGAGGCTTGGGTGTGTAACCAGGCGAGCTCTGATTTCCTGTGAAGGCACTCTTCTGATTATTGTTGTTGTAGCCTTTGTTCCACTGTTGATTCCTATACCTTTGACCCTGAAATCCTCCAGCATTGATGAAATTCACATCTTCCTGCTCAATCTCCTCTGGATTTTTGAAAGTCTCTACCTCTGCATCAAACTGGACTGACTTCTTTCCCACCAAGAGGCTATGCATACTGTCCAGCTTAGCTTTGACTTCAGCAATCTGATTCCCATCATCCAAACCAGCTTGTTTCATCCTCTGAAAATCTGCATTCTTCGTGTTGTTGCTGCAGGCCAAGTTTATTGCAGCTTCTGGAAGGTTGGTTTTGAAGTTCCCACTGCTGGCAGCATCCAACACCATCTGATACTTCCAGTCAATGCCTCTGAATAAAATACCAAGCAGCTGCATATGACTAAAACCATGATGAGGACAGTCCCTTTGATAAGACTTGAATCTCAGCCAAAAAGCTTTAAAAGCTTCAGTAGGACCTTGGGAGAATGATGCAATTTTCGTCCTCGGGTCCTCTGATCTAGCATCATCATAAAAATTGTTCATAAAAGCATTCTTGGTGTCCTCCCAAGTGGTCAGTGAACCAGGCTCCAGTTGCTTCAGCCAATATGCAGCATCTCCTCCAAGTGAGTAAGGGAAAAGCTTGCAGAACAGAAAGTCATAGCTAACTCCATTAGCTTTGACACTTGAAGCCAAATCCTCAAACCTCTCAATATGATCCATTGGATGCTGATGAGGTAAGTCATGGAAATTATGCTGTCACACCAGCTGATAATAAGCAGGCTTGAGCTCAAAATCATTCCTCTGGAAAGCAGGAGGGCGGATTGCAGCTCTGTTGGCATATAACTGATTAGGTCTGTTGTAATCAACTAGAGTCCTCTGAACAAAATGCCAGGCAGCGTAGTTAGCAGCAACAGGAGCTCCAGCATTGAACCAGCTGTTCAACTATGACATTCCCATCTTGATCCAGTCTCTGCCCTTCTTCACTCCTCCTGTTTCCCTCTCTGTCAACCAAGTGACCTTCTGCATCTTCAACCAAGATCAGTGGATTAACCATTGCAGATTACTTCTTAGCTTTCCTGATAGTCCTCTCTAACTTATCTAGCTCGTCAATGCCTAAGGTCAAAAGCTCCTTCTTTTGTTGCTTCTCGTACTGCGATTAGGCATACACCAGAAACTAGCATAAAGAAAAGTAGCATAAAGTTAGTAAACAAATAAAAACTTAGGCAAAATCATAATACTAAAAATCGATAGGCAGCTATTACTCTCCGGCAACGGCGCCAAAAACTTGATAGGGCTCAGGTTTTACCCAATTAATTCACTACAAGTGCACAAATATGCAGATGTAGTATATAGGGTTATCGAATCCCAAGAGAGCAAGCAAACTACACTAGCAATTATATATTCAGACTAGGCTAAGCAGTAGAATATAAATGTAATGCGAAATAACTAAAAACAGAGAAAGCAGGCGATTTTTTTTATCTAAGATTCGGAAAACTAAAAGCGCTAAGTCAGTTCAATTCGCAGGTTAAATCCGAGATGTAAAATGCATAAAATCAGGAATGAATAAGAACCATCTTGAACATGAATCGCAAATATATAACTAATCAATTCTCATTGCAGAACTTAACTATGTCTAAGTCACAGAGTTTCAAATCTCTTTGCAAACCCTAACAATCTAAACATGCAGTAATGATCAAGTTCAATTGTTCACAAAACTCCTAAGCCAAATCTCTTTGCACTAAGTCGTTTTGCTCATCTAATGCTAGATCAGGTTATCAATAATGCTCTCACATCTATTAAACAACCTATGATTTTTGGATTTCTAGATGATGTGTCTAAGAAATCGATTTCAAAGCAAGCAAAAATTAAGAACCAAAAGATAATCCTAACAGGTAGCGATTTCTACAAACTCTTCATCAACCTTTGAAAAGCCCTAACTTAACTAGAAAATTATTCAGACATGATCATGTAATCACAAAGCATAGCTGAATAAAATTGCATTGAAAGAATAGAATAAAATATAGAGGGGTTTGAAATCTTCTCCAAAAGAGTACAGGATCTGTCTCCCCAAAAGCTCTCAATAAAATCCTCTCTAAAGCTCCCTGAATTCTCCAGTCTAATATAAAAGCCAACAATGGCTGAAAACCTAATATATAGAAGCTAAAACACGAGCTGGGGCCTCTTTGTAAATACTAGAACTTCTGGGCCAAAACTGCAGATAATCCTCCATCTTCTAAAAACAAGCCACGACTCCTTCCTCTACAGGTGACGAGCGTCACCCAGTTCTGTATTTGCCTTCCGAGTTGCACACTTTGTGGCTGCATCTTGCAATGCTCCAAAAAGCTCCATAATCTCCAATTGTGCTCCAGACATGCTATAACCTGCAAAGACTCTACTAGGACTCTAAAAAGACTAAAAAGACTCAATAAAAAAGACTTATATCATGGTAAAAAAGACTTTTACCATGGTTAAAAACCATAAAAACCATGATATATCAAGCTCTCCCTATTTATACAGAAATGAGGACGGTTTTCGAGAGTCATCCTGACTTCGGTGACTGTTCGTATTTCTTCTCAATTAATTTTATCGGCGTCTTCGCTTTCCTCCCCCACTAATTAACACGTGTCAAACCTAGGTTTGCATGCGCATACCTTGTCTACCAAAGGCGGGAAATGTTGGCGCCAAACCGTGGTTCTGATTGACATCAAATTGCCGACCTGAACCCCAAGGTAACATCACCTTTCAGATTCTTACTCTCTTAGTACCCGATCTCAATTCATGCCGAGCTATCTCCTTTAAATTCGCCAAGCTTGATATACTTTCGCTTGCCGAACTAGAGGGGATGGGGACTTACTGTTAAAGATGGGATTCATACCCCCCCTCTTAAAGCCCTACATAATTTGAGATATGCCCACTTCAAACCCTAAAGATTTTTTAGGTCAGCAAGATAAATGGAAATCTTTCAGTTATCCGATCAAATTCCGGAAAACATCGGAGGTCGGCCTTATCAAGAAGAAATTTTTCCTATTTTGAACAGGAAAAGTTATCTCTAGGAAAACCGACCTTGTCGGGTATAAATATAGAAGTCATCTGCTTCTCCAATTATCCAGAAAGTCCTCTCTCGAGACCTAAGGCAAACCAGCAATCTATTGTTCTTAGTTCTCGATTTATTTCCATAAATACTTTAGGCCGGCGTTCTTATTCCGGCAACCTAAACCCATCGTGTACCTATCGAGCTCCAGCGTATCCCTAATAAAGATCTCTCTTTAAACCCACTGACTCTTGTTCTTTCTATAGATCGGATTTGAACAACATCATCTTCTCTCTCTTCCACATATTTATTCAACACTTTCATAACTTTTACATTCTACAATAGTTTGTTTAATAAAATTCAACAGTCTATCCCACATCAATTTTTGGAGTTTAAATAATTTGGATGAGCTAAAATTCTCAAAAATTTGAAGAGCTAGTAAAAAAATTACACATTTTTTTAAAAAAGTATATATAATTTTAATGTACCGTGAGTGACAAATCCATTAAATTCGTCATATCAGATTTTGCCACCACATTTTGTGGGACCCATTATTTTGTGTTTCAATATGTTGAATATTTTCAACAAAATTTAATCCACTTGTATTCACAAATAATTCAACAATCTCATTATATGAATTAAACTGTTGAATAATTTATTCAACACCTCCATTGTGAATAGTCTTATTATATAAGGAATTATATAACAAATGTATTCTTTATTAATTTTGGAGAGGAACAATACATATTTATTTATTTTCTTATATATAATTCATTCATATACATTCTAGCTTTAACCAATGATCAATAATAAAAGAATATAAATAAAAAGGAAAAGAATGAAAGGAACAAAATAAAAAGAATGAATAAGAATGAAATATACATAAGGAAATAAATAAATATATTTTATTTCTTCTCAAATATTATAAATATAACTGTTTATATTTATAAGAAATTAAAGAGAATGGAAAAAAGTGGAATAATAAATAATATGGAATGAAAAACTGAATTGTTAGTGTAATAGTGAATTCCATTCATTCCTTTTATTTCTCTAGATTTAGAAGGTGGAATGAAAAGAATAAGTTTTAAGAAGTATTTGGTTTCTTTTCCATTCAAAAATAATATAAAATAAAATATGTGAAATGTTCCAATAAATCTATTCTACAAAAATGCATTCCAGTTGCAGTTTTGGAATACATTTGTTCTATAATTCCATATTTGATAAGGAATAAGAAGGAATGATAGGAAAATAATATTCCTAGCAAATGGTAAATATTTTAAGGAATGAAGGAGAATTCATTATTCTTCCTCATTCTTTGTTCCTTTCAATATTTTCCTCTTCAGTCGTGTTCTTTTTTTATTGGTCAAAGCCAACGTGTATTGGATATAGTTGGTATATTAATAATGATACTCGTTTGACTTTAAAAAATTTGATGTACCTTTTGAAACACTTTTATGAAATAATATGAATATAATAAAATGTAGTTGGTATATATAATAAATGTTTTGAATATATGTATTTAGCAACTTCATTAATACTTAAACTACCTTCTATATAATATGCCAATGTTTTTGGTTATAAATAGATTTAACATTGACCCTGAAATACATAATTAGGAAAAAGAAATCAAAAGTGAAAAGGAAAATTAAAAAAGAATGTTGAAGTTCCTTGCTGTCTTTATTGTATTCAGTTTGTTGTTTGCTGTTCAATTTTCTAATGTAAAAATTCATAAACGATTTATTTTCCTTTTTTGGTTAATGAAATTAGTTTCTTACACTAATATATATATATATATATATATATATATATATTTGTATAGGCTGAAGAACCAGAAAGTCCATCTGAAGCACCTGTAATTCATAAGGTATATTATGTTATAAATTTTTAGTGATCATAAAATAATAATTAATGTATTAAATTTGTGTCATAAACAAACTAATAATGTGCGTCACTAAAAAAAATCAGATGGGAGGAGAAGGTTCACTTACTCCAGGAGGTAACATAGTTGATATAATCAATGGACCAAACAAGATTTTATCATTGACTTTGTAATTTATTCAATGTTGTTTCATGTTTATGTGAAAAATGTCCGAAGGCATGTGATTTCCGATGTTCAGCGACATCTCACAAGAAGCCCTGTTTGTTTTATTGCAACTATTGTTGTAAGAAATGTTTGTGCGTACCATCAGGAACATATGGACACAAAGAAGAATATCCTTGCTATAATAACTGGCATACGAAAGAAGGTGGCCCAAAATGTCCATAATAACTTATTTTTGTTTTCTCTTAATAATATCTATGTATTTGGTCATGTTTATTTTAAATATATAAAATTAAATTTGAAGTCTCATTCTATTGCAAAATTATGGCACTCATAATTTGAAAATTGGCTCCAATAGTCTTACAAGATCAATTAACTAGTCATACAACTTATGATTAAGAGGGTTATTGGGAGAATAGTTTTTATAAAATTATCCGGTAGCTTTCCGCTAATCTCTTCATCCAATATTAAGGAATTGGTTTGAACAAAAAAAATAATTTTCTTATGGTTAACCTGCATGCATGTGTTCATTATAAAATTTGACCCGCACATGTATTTATTATAACATTTTCTTTTTAAGATTTTTAAATGACTCCGTAAAACAAAACACAAGAGTTTTAGTGAAAAATAAAACCGTTGTGATTTATTTTTATTTTTACTTCTACTTTATTCATATTTGTGTCATCTAATTATAATTTATTTTTCTATCCGATCATTTTTTATTTTATTTGTGATCTCAAATTTTTGATCTATAATGAGACTATATATATGAGTATGATATAATTTTTTTTTTATTTAAAAAGAATAAGAGATTAAATGAGATGGTAATGGAAGCGAAGTAATTTGAAGAAAACACCAACAAATGTTAAAACAAATATATATAAATAGTTATATATCATATTTCCAACATTATTAACATATAGAGTATTTTCTACCCTACTGGATAATTTATTATTTTTTTTCTTTCTTTTTATATAAAAATATAATATATATTGGTTGTAAAAGTTTTGCTATCATATTTTATATAATTTATTATGAATATATGTAAAAAAAAAAAATCTGAAATCATAGTAATTATCTGTTTTGTTTATTTAAATTTATTAAGTTTAGTGTTATAATCTAGTGTATTTATATTTTAATTTTATATTTTTTAATTTTAAGAAGAAACCAATCAAAACATTTTATTTATTTTAATAAATTTGACATGTCATATTTTCAAGTCAACAATAGAAAGCACTAACTTGTGGTCTCTTTATGACACATCAATTGTTTTTCACTTAAAGACTTCTCAAATAATAGTTAAGAATTTGTTTTTGTTTAAAAAATCTATTTTAATTTATATAAACTATTCAAAATTACATAGAACTTGCGAATACAATAAAAAATACATGATTGTGAAAGAAATAATAAAACAAGTAAACTAATCTTAGCGATATTTTTTCAGAAAAGATTTATTCGCTCTACAATTCGCTTTCCAATTGATATGATCTTCATCTTTAATTATGCGCATAATCATACTAAACATTTTTTTTTTGTATAACATTGGCTAATTCCCAATCTAGATCTATAGACATTTTTTGATTAATAACCCATATATTGATTCCTTCAAAATAAATAAAATTTGGAACTGCCAACCTTCAACGGTTGTACTTGTACGAATATCGCCATACAACAAAGCTGATGCATCTTTGATTTTTTCATGTATTATACTCTTCAGTAATGATTCCCATGGCGGTTTCCATAGTGGTTGTTTCCAAAGTAGAGCCGTTGAAAATTTTCCAAGTCCTAAGGCGATCAGAAATAAACCGACAGAAATGGTTTGCAACGGACAGAAAAATTGGTGTCATAAAAAAACTAATAATGTGTGTCACTAAAAAAAATTTCAGATGGAAGGAGAAGGTTCACTTACTCCAGAAGGTAACATTGTTTAAAAAAATACTTGTTTTCTATAGTTTATATAATCGATAAATGGACCAAACGAGATTTTATTACTGATTTTGTAATTTATTCAATGTTGTTTTATATTTTTGTGAAGAATGTCTGGAGGTATGTAATTTCCGATGTTCAACGACGTCTCACAAGAAGTCCTGTTTGTTTTATTGCAAATATTGTTGTAAGAAATGTTTGTGCGTACCATCTAAAACATATGGCTACAAGAAGAATGTCCTTGCTATAATATCTGACAGACAAAAGAAGGTGGTCTAAAATGTCCATAATAACTTATTTTTTGTTTTCTCTTAATAATATCATGTATTTAGTCATGTTTATTTTCAATATATAAAATAAAATTTGAAGTCTATTTCCATTGCAAAGTTATGGCATACATAAGTTAAGGAAAATTGGCTCCAATAGTCTCATAAGTTCAATTAACTAGTCATATGACTTATGATTAAGGAGGGTTATTGGGAAAAATTGCAATAAACGTTTTTGAAAAAATCAAAATATAATATTTGAATCTGTCATGAAAATATATATAGTACATTGGATAATTTATTATTAATTATAATTTTCAAGCAATTATAATAAATATTTGTTACAAAATTGTTTGGTACATCTCCGCTAATCTCATCATCCAAGATTGAGGAATTCGTTTAAAGAAAAAATAATTTCTTATGGTTGGCTTGCATGCATGTGTTCATTATAAACTTTGACCAGCATATGTATTTATTATAAAATTTACTTTTTAAGATTTTTAAATAACTCCGTAAAACAAATCAAGAGAGTTTTAGTGAAAAATAAAAATGTATAGATTTTTTTTTATTTTTACTTCTACTTTTTATTCATATTTGTTTCATCTTATTATAATTTATGTTTTTATCCGGTCATTTTTTATTTTATTTCTGATCTCAAATTCTCGATATACAATAAGATTGTATATATGAGTATGATATAAACTTTTTATTTATTTAAAAGATGATAAGAGATAAAATGAGATGGTAATAAAGCGAAGTAAATTGAAGAAAACCCAACAAAATGTTAAAAAAATTATATATGAATAGTTATATATCATATTCTCAACATTATTAATATATGGAGTATTTGCTACCCTACTGTATAATCTATTATTATTATTATTTTTAATATAAAAATAAAATATATTGGTTGTAAAATTTTTGTAATCATCTTTTATATAATATATTATGAATATATTTTAAAAAAACTGAAATCATAGTAATTATTAATTTCTGTTAATTGAAATTTATTAAGTTTAGTGTTATAATCTAGTGTATTTATATATTAATTTTATAATTTATTTAATTTTAATTCAATCAATCAAATTATTATATTTATTTTAGGAAACACTCAATAAAAAAGCATTTAACGAATAGTTACGATTTATGTTTAATTTCACCGCCTTTGTGAGAGCATTGTTTTCCCTAATAGTTATGATTTATGTTTAATTTCATAATTTATTTAGTTTTAATTTAACGAATAAAAATATTTCGTTTATTTTAGAAAATTTGACATGTCACATTTTCAAGTCAACAATAGAAAGCACTAACTTTTTCTCTTCCCATGACACATCATTTTTTTCACTTAAAAACTTCTCAAATAATAGTTAAAGATTATTTTTCTTTTTTTCTATATAAAGATAAAATATATATTGGTTGTAAAATTTCTGTAATCATATTTTATACAATCTATTATTAATGGAATTACTGCAAAAAAATTCTCAAACTAATTTTTTTTGCAAGAAAAACCCTCACCTCAAAAAAATGCAAGTCAATCTACTCACCTCAGAAGTCACCCGCAAAATAACCCCTTTGTGAAGAAGCTGTTATATCGTCGACGGAAATGAAAACACTGCGTTTGGTTTAAAGAAATATTGAACGAAAACCGTGTTGTTTTGGGTTTCTGATACTGCATGTGGGGTTTATTTAACAAAGAAGTAAAGAAAGATCGAGCAATTAGGGATAATATTAGGGTTTACGCGGCGAGTATCAATCGGGACATCGACAAAGAGATACGACAATTCTGGTAAGTAAATCAAATCTGTGTTTGCTTGTGTAAGATTTCTTGTTACAGAGCAAATAATTTCGTGTTAGAGAGCATATAATTTCGTGGTAGAGAGTAAATTTGTTTTTGTAAGCGTTTCTTGTATATGTTCGTATCTTAAAAGATAGAAGATAATCTCAATTTGATTGTTGAGTTTGTATGTAAGGTTGTCTGTTGCCAAATTGATCAAAGCTTCAAGCTATTTTGTTAGAAAAGAATAATTTCGAAAAAGATTGTATTTGGGTTTTGAAAGATAGAAGAAAATCAAGAGTAAAACCATTGTTTTTACCTGTTTTTCAGGTTAAATATGGGAAGGAATTTCAGTTACAGTTGGAGCAGCTCTTCCTCAAGATCAAGTGTTAGCTATAGAGGTCGACATGAAGGCCAATTTGGGATTCCCTGAAAGTATTTGTGTGGTGGTAATGTTGCGCTTCAGACTGCCCACGTTGGTCCAGATCCCGGTAGGAGATTTTACTGCTGCAATAGTAACAATAGATTGATAATTCTACTTACCTCTATTTCTAAGTTTTCAAAGTTTTATTCACAAACAATGGATTGTAAGTTGTGAAGATTTGTAGGATGGTCGCCACCACATTAGGAAGTGGTGGGATGAAGCAATGATGGATGAGGTCAATGAGCTTATTGAGAATGTGGATGACCTGTCGAGTAGGATTTGACTTGAGAGTGAGGAGAATTTAGAACGGTTGAATGGTCTTGTTTCACGACCTGAAATGGAGACATTGTGTCACAACCTGCAGAAGGTTGTTGAAGAGATTGAAGAGCTGAAGAAAACATTTGAAGACCCAGATCTGGTGGAGAAGATCAAGGAGTTGGCGAAGGTTGATGCTCATGGCGCAGAGCTCCAGTTCAAGATTGCTGTGGTGGTGGGTGTTGTTGTGATCTTCATGGTTTTGATCATCTGGTATGTGAAGTAGAGAAGGTGATTTAGTTATGTCAGTTTGTATGATATTGTTGTTTTTCGGTAGAGACTCTTAGTTTTCTAAACAATTGATTAGAGACTCTTAGTTTTCTAGGCTTTCTAAGTATAATTATTTTGTACTGAACTTATGCTTCATAATGTCTTCGTGGTCTTCTTAGTTATGTTTTGTAATGACTTTGTATTGTAAACTTTCTTAGTTATGGTAGTTTCTCTTGTTTTTAATTGGTGATAAACAATGGTATAGGACAATCATATTTATCCTAACTACTAGTCTCTACAAGAATTTGGTGAAACAATTCAAATACATTTTCATGATACAATCATAAAAGGAGTGTGGTACTAGGGACTGTTAGTAGGGATTTGTTCGAAGATCAAAAAGCCTAAAAAAATGATTAGAGACTCTTAGTTTTCTAGGCTTTCTAAGTATAATTATTTTGTACTGAACTTATGCTTCATAATGTCTTCGTGGTCTTCTTAGTTATGTTTTGTAATGACTTTGTATTGTAAACTTTCTTAGTTATGGTAGTTTCTCTTGTTTTTAATTGGTGATAAACAATGGTATAGGACAATCATATTTATCCTAACTACTAGTCTCTACAAGAATTTGGTGAAACAATTCAAATACATTTTCATGATACAATCATAAAAGGAGTGTGGTACTAGGGACTGTTAGTAGGGATTTGTTCGAAGATCAAAAAGCCTAAAAAAATGGTAGCTTGAGGCTCGAACCCTCGAGATCGAGATTAATTGCAAGCAAAGTAGTGCATTTACCAATCAAGCTAGGTGAACTAATTGGTGTAGTGAATTTACAAATACTTATAAACTTAATGGAGTCAAAATTGAAAAAGGCATTTTTTCTTATGGGTGTGCGATTCGAACACCCGAGATCTCGAGTATGGAGAGGGTCAATTTTCACTCGAGCTAATTGAATTACTTGGTTTAATATAACACAGAAACAACTGTATTAACAAGTGTATTTTTGTTGACTATGATTGAGTCAAAGTCAAAAGAGGGGAAATTTCTGTTTTTTAGGGTTGATGAGCGAGATATGAGAGCTTCAGAGGGAGCCGAGAGTAAGAGTGCAGAAAGAAATCGAGAGGTTAATAGAAATCAAAATATTAAGAGAAATCGAGAGCTTAAGAGAAACAAGATACATGTCAGAGACCATGAGCAGTTCTTCTTCTTCTTCTTATCTCGTTTCACACATCGTAGGTCCATGACTGGAGTTCCAACGAGATGTTGGTGTGGGATGAAGCTGAGGACATATGTTTCTCAGACAGATGAGAATCCTTGCTGATGATTCTACAAGTGCGAGATCGCAGTGCAGGTTCATTCTATTACAGTATTTTTCAGAATCATAAGTATCTCCAATTTTCAGAATGAGATAGCGTTTTACTGTTTGTGTAGAGGAAAATGGAGTCTCATCTATTTAAATGGATTGACGAAGCTTTCCTTGCGGAGACAAGAATGGTAGATGCAAAACTGATGAGGCTAGTAGATGAAGTGAAAGAACTGAGAAATGACATGGTGAAAAACTTTGAACTAAAAACAAATATGGAAGAAGAGATGCAAGAGAAGATGAAGGACGAGATGAAAGAGAAGAAGAAGGAAGAGATGAAAGAAGTGATGATGATGGCTCTAGGTATGCCTACATTGATTATGGACAGAGTTGTGCTTATCGTGATGGCTGTTGGAGCAATCGAATGGGTTGGTGGGAAGCTACTATAACTTAGCTTTGTTCTTAGTTGAGACAGTGTTAGATATGTCATTGAATTTCTGACTCTAAATTTGTAAGATTGTGTTTCTAAGTTTCTAAGTTTGTATTGTAAGACTCTAAGTTTGTAAGAATATGATTCTAAGTTTCAAAGTTTCTAAGTCTGTATTATTTTCTAAGTTCCTATTCTACAAGTACATTCTAAGTTTGCAAATAAAGTGAAACCTTAAGAATGCATCAAAAACGATTTACAGAAAATGGGAATCATAACATAAGTCTACAATATTGTTAAGAATACATAAGCATCACTTGTTCATTTTGAAAGCATAACATAAGTCTACAATAACAAAGATAGCATTTGATCAAGGTTGGGAAGAAGACAACCAATTTTCCACAAAGCTTCCACGAGCTCTTCCCCGACCTATTCCACAGCCTCTTCCACGTTCAACCGCCACCTTTTTAGCTTCTCTCGCTCTGTATAGACTGCTTGGCAGGATTGTATTAACACGTGTATCCCTCATAGACCTGCCAAGATGAACATAATCATCCCTCGACTGCACACTAGTGAAGACACCGTACCCTTCCTGCAACAATCACATAATATAGTTACACATTCAGCAAGCAATTTTCTATTGATTGATCAGGTATAAAGACAACTTACTCTTGGGATCTGTATTGGTCCAGTGTCGTAAACAGGCTCTCTAGTAGCTTATTTTTCTGGTGGCACACTTGCCTCAATAGAATTCTTGCGAGGTCTACCACGCTTCTTGGAAGTGCAGAGGAAAGAGAAGGAAGGTCTTCAACCGGCTGAGAAGAAGAGTCACCTTGTGCAGGATGAGAAGAAGAGCCACCTTGTGCATGATGAGAAGAAGAGCCACCTTGTGCAGGATGAGAAGAAGAGCCATGTCGTGAAGAAGAGCCACGTCGCACAGGCTGAAAACAAGACACACGCTGGGTAGGCTGAGAAGAAGATGCATCAACACTTTCATTACATGGCCTCCACGAATTATTGTCAGCAGGCTGAGAAGAAGAGACACCTTCAAGAGTATTCCAGTCAAGTCCTGCAATAGGTGACAGGGGCCTAACTCGTGGCCTCCCGAGTGGTTTCTTTGGAGGCTTAGGGATAGACTGGTTCTTACAGTTTGTGACATTGTGTCCTTCCTGCCCACAATTTATGCTGCCAACATAAAAAAGAAACAGGTACTAACATTAGTGTCAATAACCAATCCCAATAATGACCCGAAAGAAACAATGACACAATAAACAAGTACATACCATTTTGATTCCTATCTTTGGTGCTTTTCCTGATTTTGCCTTGGATCTCCCTTCTCTCTCTTTTTCTTTTTCCCTGGAGGCCTGCCCGGAGGCCTCTTATATGGAGGTGGATTGACCCGAGCATCAATTGTAACCTTCAACAGGTTCATACTGTTAACTGGTTCTAAACTAGTTTCATAGCATCCACGAAGCTTCTATATCTTAAACCAGTCACTGATCAATGTCTTAGGGTCTTGCTCAACATTTCTCTCTAGTATAAGTGCGAATGCAATGTGGCAACAGGGGATGCCACCGATGAGGTACAACCGACAAGTACAACTTGTTTCATTTCTCAAATGCACAATGTACCTGTCATTGAAGTAGCTCACTTCATATCTCCCCATCCCCCAAGGTATCGGCCTATAATTCTTAGCTAACTCAATCTGCTGGTCAAGTAATGTTACTGCTCTAGGAGTGTATTCGCCTCTGGCTTTCTCTGCTTCAAGTTTCTTTTTCTCATTAGAGACCATGACTCTCCTCCTAATCTCCTCAAGCATTTCAACAATTGGTTTAGTCCTTGCAATCCTTCTTGCCTCATTAAAAATTTCTCCCAAATTGTTCTCCACAGCATCATGTTTTGAGTACTATGAGAAAAAATCCCTACATTTTGAACATACATATGAGTGCAATAAATAAATATAACCACTTCAAACATTTAAAAACTATATTAAACTTACCTTAACCATTGAGCGGCAATAGATATCTTCAATGCCGCATGTGCAGCACGATCATACTCCCTCAACTCTTTCATCCTGCTATCAAATATTTGTGGATAGTATGAATCAGCAGCCACCCAAAAGAAGTCTTCTAATTCTGCACCTGAATGACTCTTCTTCCAATATGCGTAAACATGTCTTGCACACAGCTTATATTCAGTAAATGGCAATACATCTTTCACAGCAGCGATCAACCCTCTATGCTGATCACTCGCCAAAGTCAAACCGTTTCCTGTGTTCAAGCCCAAGTTTTCACTCAAATGCTCTAAAAACCACAACCAATTCGGCTTAGTCTCAGCATCAACAATGGCCTAAGCTATTGGAAACATTTGATCATTCGGATCTCTGCCACAAGCCACTAACAATGTCCCAGTCATTCTCCATTTCAGAAATGTGACATCAAGAATGGTTCTCTTGTATGTTGTCTTCCAACCTTGGTACAATCCAGCAAAACATACATAAAACCGGTAAAACCGTGTTTCCCTCACCTCAAGTTCCACTGTAGATCCACCATTACATCTTTTTAACTCAGCAACATAGTCATAAAGTCTTACAAACTGCTCTGCCTGCTCTCTATCAAAAGTTTTCAAGCATCCAAGCCTTATCCTCTCACATATCGTCCATGTGACATTAATTTTCCTATCCAAAAGTTTCTCTTGCAACTGAATGGCTGAAAAATCTGGATTCAACCTAAAGTCTTCAATGTATATGTCTGCTATTCTAGCATTCGTTAGAAGAGAGGCTTTACCTTGCCAAGTGCAATTGTGCTCTTCTTGCAACGGTCTTACCACAACCTGGGTTGAGAAATGGTTTATCGACGCATACATCCTCCAAGGACACTTCCCATCTGAACAGATTGTTGTAACATGCTTACTATCAGATTTTTAATACCTAATACCCCTTCTCTTCTTCACAGCATATTTGTTTACAGCACACTTAAATCTCTTTATTGTCTTGTTCTCTTGACCTATCTTAAACTTCTTGAATTTACTCTCATCTATGCCTTGATTATCATCACTCTCACTATCATCCTCATTTCCACTTCCATAAAGATCTACCTCATCATCTGAAGAATCAGAATTATCTCTACCTTCTATCTCACCACCATCATCATTATCAGCCTCACCATCATTATCATCAGATTCAGCCTCATCATCATCAGACAACTAGCTACTTCTAACACCTAATCATCGACCTATGTAAGGATCATCTTCTCGGACAGCATATAATGTTAACGCACCTGACCCTATTCTGTAGTGAACAACTTTCTGTATTGTCTCATCATCATCTATGTCCTCTTTCTGGTTTGGCATCTCTGGTGAAAACCACGAAATCTTTCGCATGTTATCTTCAAAGCCAATATATTGGACAATGAACATCTGAACCTTTGCCAGACTGAATCCGTCACCCAAGTATCGACCTGCTGGATTGGCCTCTCCACCAAGATATGAATCACCGGGTGACCAATAGCCGCTTGCGTAGATATACAAATCGAAACTCAAATATAAAATATCAGTATATTTTATTTATTTTAGAAAATTTGATTTTGTTAATTTTAGTTTTTAAACATATAGGCTAGTGTGGACTCTTCATATTATTTTTTCATTGTTTTGATATTTTGTGTGTTTTAATAATGTTTTGATTTGAATAGTTTATTTTGATATTCCAATTTGAATTTGATTCATACATTTATCATATTTTATTATTGAAATATAATTTTGAAAAATGTTACTCATGTGTTGTTCATGTTGGCTCAGTTATGAGTAGTAGTTATGTATTATTTGTTATAAGGACAACAAAAGTTAATGATTTCTATTGTTGACTTGAAAATGTGACATGTCAAATTTCATAAGATAAATGAAATATATTGATTGGTTGAATTAAAATTATATAAATTATAAAATTAAAACATAAATACCTTAAATTATAACACTAAACTTAATAAATTTACATTAACAGAAACTGATCATTACTATGATTTCAGTTTTTTGTTTTTACATATATTCATAATAGATTATATAAAATGTGATTACAAAAATTTGACAGTTAATATCTTTTATGATTATATAAAAAATAAAGAAAATAATATTAGATTATCCAATAGGATAGCAAATACTCTATATATTAATAATGTTGGGAATGTGATATATAACTATTTGTGTATAATTTTTTAACATTTTTTAGTGTTTTTTTCAATTTAATTCGCTTGCATTACCATCTCCTTTTTATCTTTTATCCCTTTTTAAATAAAAAAAAATATATCATACTCATATATACACTCACATTGTAGATCAAGAATTTGAGATCAGAAATAAAATATAGAATAATCGGATAAAAAAATAAATCAGAATAAGATAAAACAAATATGAATAAAAAGTAGAAGTAAAAATAAAAGTAAATCTCTACAATTTTATTTTTCAGTAAAACTCTCGTGATTTGTTTTACGGAGTTATTTAAAAATCTTAAAAAGAAAATTTAATAATAAATGCATATGAGGGTCAAATTTTATAATGAACACATTCGTGCAGGCCAACCATAAGAAATTTATTTTCTTCTTCAAACCAAGTCCTCAATATTGGATAAAGAGATTAGCGGAGAGCTACCGGATAATTTTGTAACAAGTATTTATTATAATTTTTTGAAAAATGAAAATTAATAATAGATTATCAAATGTACTATATTTATTTTCATGATAAAGTCAAATAATATATTTTGATTGTTTTGTTATAGTTCATAGTAATTTCTCCCAATAACCCTCTTTAATCATAAGTTATATGACTAATTAAATGAACTTATGAGACTATTGGAGCCTATTTTCCTTAACTTATGTGTGTCATAACTTTGCAATGGAATAAGACTTCATATTGTATTTTATATATTTAAAATAAACATGACCAAATACATAGATATTATTAAGAAAAAACAAAAAATAAGTTATATGGACATTTTGGACCACCTTATTATTATAGCAAGAACATTCTTCTTTGTGTCTATATGTTCCTGATGGTTCGTACAAATATTTCTTACAACATTAGTTGCAATAAAACAAGCAGGGTTTCTTGTGAGACGTCGCTGAACATCGCAAATTACATGCCTCTTCACATAAATATAAAACAACATTGAATAAGTTATAAAGTCAGTGATAAAATCTCGTTTGGTCCATTTATCGATTATATAAACTATGGAAAACAAGTAGTTTTTTAAACAATGTTACCTACTGGAGTAAGTGGACCTTTATTTCACATCTCCATGGCCATATATATCATTTTCATGACCAACTTCATTTTCTACGTCAACAACCTTGAGTAAGCTTTATTTTTCTATTTTTGTTTTGTTTGATGAGATTAAAAATGTCAATTCGTGTTAAATTTACGTTTTTAGATGTTAAACAATAAAAAAAATCTGATATCTTAGTTATTTTTTGTTAATATAATTTATAAAAAAATGCATGTAAGTGATAGGTTCTAAGTTTTATCCAATTATTTTACTTTTGCAAGTGCACAGCAAAGCAGTTGTAGCACAAAGGGTTATCGAATCCCAAAAGAATAAGCTACTACACTATAGAATTTAGATTCAGATTAAGCTAAGCGGTAATCAGTGAATGTAAGCAGGCAATTTTGAATGATTGCTCTAAGGTTCAGAAATCTTAAGACGCTAAGCTAGGATAATTTGCAGGTTGAATCCGAAAATGTAGAATGCATGCAATCAGGAAATAGTTAAAACCGTCTAGAACTTGAAACACAATAATATAACTAATCAATTCTTATTGCAAAAGTTATATGTGCCTAAATCACAGAATTTCAAATATCTTTGCAAATTCTGACAATCTAAACATACAGTAAAGATCAGGTTCAATTGTTCATAAAACTCCGAAGCCAAATCTCTTTGTGATTAGTAGTTTTGCTCATCTAATACTATTTTAGGTGATTAACAATGTTCTCACATCTATTAAACAACCTAGGATTTCGAAATCTAGATGATCAGTTCTAAAAATCGATATGAATGTAAGCACATATGAAGAACCAATAGATTTTCCTAACAGTTTGGCAATTCTACAAACTCTTTATCAACCCTTAAATCATCTTTACTTAACTGGTAGATTACTCAGACATGGAGATGATGAAACAAATCATAACTGAAATAAACTGCATAAAATATAATAGAGTAGAGATATAAGGGTTCGAAATCTTCTCTAAAAGAGTACAGGATTTGTCTCCCTCAATGCTCTGAAAACTATTTCTCTCAATAGCTCTCCAGAAAATCAGATAATGGCTGAAAAACCTAATATACAAGCTAAAACACGATTGGAGATCTTTTGCAAATAGTAGAACTTCTGGGCCAAAAGTGCAATTCTTCATCCATCTTTTAATAGAATCACGCGACTCCTCTCAGATGTGGGTGATGAGCGTCACCCTTGGTTGGTGACGATCGTCACCAGTGCAGAATAACGCATTCTGAGTTGCTTCATTCGGGAACGATTCTTGTTTTGATCCAAAAAGCTCCAGAACCGCCAATTGTGCTCCAATCATGCTATAACCTGCAAAGACTCTACTAGATCTCTAAAAAGATGAAAAAGACTTAATAAAAAGGATTTATATCATGGTTAAAAAGCATAAAAACCATGATATATCAGTAAGGTGTTAGATAAAATGCTTGAAAGAAAAAAAGTTTGCTAATTATAATTATATTGATCAAATAAGTCTACTTTAAAGAAATAAATCTACAAGATATTACGTGGTTTGTAGTTGATGATAATTTTATTTTGTAGATTTATGTACGTGATGCAAACTTATATTAGAAGATTATTTATATATGATTATTTTGATGGTAGACTTTTACTGTAATTTTTTTTATAGCAGTTATATTTGTTTAGATATCTTCGTAGATTTATTTACATTTTTATGTACATGGCAGATTTAAATTATACAAAGAAGACGAAAAAGAGAACAAGTCGAAAAGAAAAAAATTCAGATTTATATTATGGATAAAAAGGTGATAAAATGTTTAAATAAAAAAATAGTTTATTTTGAAACAAATAGATCTGCAAATAAGAGATGATCTTTCCTGATTTGTTCCTTATAGACCTCAATCTCTCCATGTATTCAGAATCAACCAGGACTTGGAAAGCATGCTCAACTCACCTAGAGTTTACCAGGAAGAAGAATCAGCTAAAAAAAAGCACATATAAAAAAGATATTGAAGATACAAGTCAACAGATCTTCAATAGACCAGATAGAGACATACGAGTGCTAATCAAATCATTCCAGCCAAACCAAGACAAAACAAGCAACAAAACTGAATGTTTCAGATTCTCAACTCATCAGAGGCACGCAGAAAATTGGATTCATACCAAAGGTCATCATGGTTCAAAAGTTATTCAACTTCAAAACCGGAAAATCTTCAACCTGCCATATTTGAAAGCTCTCAGGATTAATCATTTATTAAGCAGAATTTGGCGACTAGGAGAGTTTATTAATCATATAGAAGCTACCCAAGACGTCCTACAGAATCCAGAGGATTAGGCGGATCTTTTTGCACTTCAACGTTTCTTTTCCATACATGTTCACACTTTGTGCATTTAAGGAGTTCACACCAGAGCTCACTGATTCTTCTCAACGGTCATATTATATTCAACTTGGACACGCACTGAAGCCTCTCTACGTTATCTAGAGAGTTCCAAAGGCGTACCACTTCCTTCCCAATTTTTTAAGATACAAGGAGCTTCCAACTTACTTTATTCGGCCAACTATGCCTCAACGCCTCCAACGGGTAATTCTTTAATCCAATTTGATTTCTTTCTTTGTTTAAGCTTTTAGACCATTAGTTTACTCATGTAAGAACTCTATATAAAGCTCATTTCGTCATTTGTACAAACGACCCTTGAATATACCTTTTAATAAACATAAAGTTTTCTTGTTTTTGAAGTTGTTACTTGTTTTTTAGTTCTTAAGTGTGCGATTCACTTTGGTTCTTGAAGCCACAAATCAGATTATTTGAGTGAATCAAACACTCTAGTTCTCCCACTGGTTGAGCGAGTCAGTCACCCTCTATCCTCCATCTCTATCATTATTTCTACCTTCTGCAAGTTTAAGCTTGGAATCACTTGATCATCAAGTGATCATAAGTTGGAGTGATTCCAATCTTATAACAAACTAATTGTTACATTCAATCCCACTGCTAATTACAAAGTATGATCTGCCACTATATTTTTTTTTCTTTTGACATCGATATGCCACCATACTTTCTACCAAATATCATCATGATCAGATTTTATTTAACCTTCCAAATGATCTCTTAAAAAATCTGGAGCGTAACTAGTTTTCTGAAAATCTAATTATAGGCTAATTTGCAAGATCATTTGTGGATAACGTTTAATACCAATTAATAAAATGTTGAATCGATTGAATTCTATGAAGCGAGCTCTTTTTCAGAGACAACCCGATCATGGTCTAGGTCCTTATGGCTTGGCCGA